AAAATGTAAAGATTGAATGAAAATTAATAAAGTTATGCACAAACAATTTGGCAGACGAAAATGGCTAATTTTTACGAAAATTCTTTTGTTTTTAGCATTGAATTTAATGACACTACTTACAAAACACCCAATTTATACACTATATTAATTAAATATTTAAATATTTCTGGATTACTCCAATAATAGACAAGTTAAAGCATCGGATTTCGCAAAAATAGCTCAAGTAGCTATTTTACATCATAGCGTTAAATGAGCATGTCCGACTTCCGACTCATTTGGCTGTCACCGGTCACATATTATCTTATATTTCCAAAGTAATGGTAACAGCAACAGGCATTCTCAACTCACTGACCACTGCTTTCATTGGTCTACTGAGTTTTTATTAGTGCTCAGATGACAAAGCAGCTGTTGATAATAAGTTTAGTTGCCTGGCAACCTATCTTTATACCATAGTCATCATTGTAGATATTTTTTTATTATCATGAAAAATAACTTTATCAAACCACAAATAACTGTGTCATCAACTAAAGTTTTAACAGTCATGGAATTTTCTATCATTATGAAGCCATCCTATGGACATTTATTAAGTTATGAGCTCTGCATTATAAAAAAAACCCATTATCTAGGACTTTTGGATTTTGATATATTAATAAAACATAATTTGTTTTCTAATTTAAGTCTATTGTACCGTACATAAACATAACATATGGCGATTATATGCACTGAATTTGCATTGATTGGCTGACTGGGGGGTCATCCATAGTACATATATAAATAAAAAAGCTCATTTTGAATTTTAATGAATTTGATTTTTAATTTATTAATATACTCTTTAAAAAAGTAGGAGATATTCAGAAACAATACAAAACTGCGGAAATGCACTGCTGTTTTTTATTAGAGGTAACCAGTGTTTGTTAATAACAGGCCAATTGCCTACACATGAACACTTATGGGCGACTTATCTGACGGCCCCATTTCAATCACAAAGAGATATACCATCAAAAGTGAAAATGGACGTTTTTGATTTTTGTCTTAATAATGAGTAATTGTTCCACCAATCCTCAGACATTCAGTAATTCGTGGTGGCATGCTCCTAATCAACCGTACAATCACGATTTGGGGCAATCTGACACACTCCTCTTGCAGTGCCACGGCCAATTCTTGCAGTGTTGACGTTGACGAACACGTCTCCCGATCAAATTAAACGTAACACATTAAAGCAAGGTTACGCTAAATAGTAAATTTATGCAAGAACCGATAGGAAAGCAAACATGGATAGATAAACCAGCACGCAGCAGTTTTCATCAACCCTTCCTTGAAGTGTCAAATTTCTTCAACGAACCCCTCCCACGTATATGGTGCTATTGCATGTCGCATGTGCAGCTCAGTGGTTCTGTTGGGGGCGATAAGTTCTTCATCTGTGAACATACTCTCAAAGCATGCCAAGTGTCCATGACTATTTATCATATCACAACCTGCATAGGTATTTGCATTTCAATATCCCCTACTTTTTTTGAAGAGTATACAACATGATTAGTTTTCTAAGCCTAACATTAAATATAAATAAAAAATTCTTATTTCTTATGTACCTTTTTCATTGTGCTATCGGTCATCTATTATAAATATATGCATATGTGAGATGTTGAAAATGTATTATGATCATGAATACCCATTGCTGTAAATATTATTACCATATGTGTTCTCTATTGTGTATTGAGTGAAGTTGTCAAACATATTGCATTTAGCTTTCAAATGCAGTTTAACTTTTCAGTAGCATTTTATGACAATGTTGATGAAACTACTGTAAAAAGAGAGCAAGTGTGAGCTACCTTCCTGTTCTCTAGGTTAAATGTACGGGTGTCATGAGTTTGTAAGGAGAGCTCCGTGGTTGTAAGTGGCTATATTTAGACACCTTATACACATGGTAATTTTAAATTACACATGAATGGTATGGACACGATTTTACACAGACTATTGCACAACACGCATACAGCTATGTGTACTTTATATATGTCTTGGTAAACATGTATATAGCTTACATTATCACATGATATTTATTCACCAATAATATTCCCCGACTATTGGATTTCTCTTCTAGTAGGTCGGTCTCCCAGAATTTCAATATTTTTCCTAGCATTCATGTATGTCTGGCACTATACAGCAACAATAAAAAAAAAATCATGATGACTTCTGAATATTGTGATTTCCAATGCACATACCTAGAATTTTTGTTGGTTATGTATGTGGTGAGAGCATTTGAACTAATGTGTTTTATTATTTAGTGTGTGCGCCTTTTGTTGAAATTTATTTCTAAACTAATCCGTTAGAAAGTTTACCTAATGGACTAGTCTGGAAGGATGACTTAGAGATAAATAGAATAATAATGAAAGAAGCTAGACTGGGGAGTAATTCCAAATGCTGAATACATTAATACACTTTAAGTCATATTCACCATGGTCATGTCACAGTGACACCGTTGTGACCCAGTTTCATTAAAAAAAAAAAATTAGGCCCATGTCTGTCTTGTCGTGTTACATGCTTGGAAGATATTGGTCAGCTACTAAGGCTTAATATCAGCGATTGTATTTCAATATGGTTATTAGGTGCATGAGAACACCCCACAAAATGTTCCTAAATATATTATATCTTTTTTGAAACTTTGACAATATTCAGCTGTTTAGATTTTTTGTGTGGGTAAATTAAAGAAGGTATTTGTAACCCTGAATTGACAAAGGATCTTTATATCACCCATTTGTATCATGACTTGAACAAGATATGAATGATGATGTATAGTATGATATTTGACATTTAATTACATATTTGGCACATTGTATGGAAGGTATATAATTTATCAAGTATAAAACATCTTTATATATTACAAACATGGTTTGAAACTGGTTATACACTGAATAATAAATGCACTACATGTGTGTATATAAGTAGGTTATGTGATTAAAAAGTTATGTCATTTGATCAAATAGATATCGAAATTGATTTATTTGAAAGTGTTAGCTAAATGTCTCTTTTGAAAAAAAAAAAGTCATTTATAATAATGCTGCTGTAGAACCAACTGGGGGGCAAATGGTTAATGCGTTGCATCACAAGGACTGTCATTGAGTCAAGTGGAGTGGTTTCGCCTGTCCAACCTCGTGGCTTGTCTCCGGGTCCTCCGCTTTCCACCCACTGATTAAGACCGCTACCCGCAAGCGAATTATTGAAATTGGACCATGTGTTACTGTTAGTCTAGAAATTACCTAGTTTGTATCGAGTGGACATTAAACCCTAGTTCTCTCTCTTTATTAGGTGAATGCCTTGATGGAGTTTGATGATGAGCATTTTCTGCTTGGGCTATATAGATAATGAGTTTGATTGCTCAATTCTTTACAAAAAGATAAATGGGCATTTATTTATTTTGGAATTGACAGGGTGATACATCAGATTGGCTGTTGGCTTGGGATTTTTTTAATTCAATCAAACATATATTAAAATGGACTGAACAACAGTCATATAGCTTATATTATATAAGTCAGCTTTAAAGCATTCTCTGTATTAGATTCATTAATACATTAGATATCACGTCATCAAAATCTGATTTCCTGGTATGTGTATACCACTATTTTAAAATGGCTTGACATTTTTGAACTCAAAAGAAAAATAAAAAATAAATATATGTTTTTTTGTTTTGTGGGAATTCAGTCTGTCTTTGTTGAAAATTTGAAGTTTATAGATAAAGCCAGTGTTGAGATCTAACCGATTTTGTGTACCACTATCAACACATTACAGTTAGCCAAAGATTCAACTACAATTGGTAATCAAGCCAACTTCCACTTAATATTTCATAATGTAAATTTAATTGTTAGCGGTTGAACTAACATATCTGATCAACCCAATTCAATAAATGGTCTAAATCATGTAATTCCTTTGGTTCAACAGATGTTACATTGTCTAGGTCTTAGTTATAGTTGTATTCTAATAATTATCAATGCAAAATGTCTACTTAAAATGTACCATTGTGGGTGGTCTAACATGTTTGCTTTAGATCATAAGGTCTGTCATTGAGTTTATTAGTGTTGTTTAGATCCCAAGCTTGTACGTGAGGTGGAGTAGGGACAGATGGGTCGCCTGTCCAAACTTGTGGGTTTTCTCCGGTTCCTCCTGTTTTGTACCACAGTTAAAGATCCCCATGTTCCATATTAGTCCCAAAATGACCGAGTTCATGTTGAGTTGACGTTCGACCCCATTTCTCTCACTCTGCTTTCTATGTAGAAGTATCTTTATCTGTCATATAGCACATCAGAGACCAGAGTAGTACATTATATGTATATTTATGTTGTAATTGTGTAAAAGAAAGTGTGTGTTATATTTCCATGGGAACCACTCAACTGTCCTTGGAAGCAGAGAAACATGACTATGATGTTAAATATTGAAATACCAACTACATTTCATAACAGGAAATGGATCCGAAACCAGGGGCAAGAAGGAGAAGTTGTTTGCAAGGGTGATCAAGGAAGGCAATGGACCCCAATTTGAAATGAAATAGAATGAAATGAAATGAAATGGGGTTTAACGTCCTACTGTTCTACTCCGAACTGGGCTAATGAAGACGGGCATACGCTATACAGTGTGCTATGAGGGAAATTTTGCCCAGACAGCAGCACCACGGCCTACTCTTATATTGAATTCTAACTGTCAAGCATCTTTTACGTGCACGCCAATGTGTAGGCCTACACGGGACCTCATTTTTCCATCCCATCTGAACGACTAGACAGCTGTCCTTGTCATTGTCTCTGTCCTGCATCACTGGATGAACTTTCTCGGCCAATGAAACCTCCAGGCTAGCGAGCTAGCGTCTTACCTACTTAGCCACCGTGACCCCCTCACTTTGAAAGTCCAATTATGTGTAATTGCAAAATAACAAAATTTTGATAACCTCTATACTCTAGCCCCTATACAGTGTTAATACCAGAAGATATTCAGTCTATTTATTGCATATATTTCAGGTATGAGGCTGGTAGTACAAGAGGAGATAAAGTGGATTAACACAACTATTGATTGAAGAGAAGAAAAAAACTCAAGGTCTGGCCCGAGGACTATAAAAGTGTTCATTATTTATTAATAAGACAACTTATCAGGCGTTACTATTTATTCTGGTGTGGGAAAGGTAGGTATGGAAGATAAGACTCTTAAAGGAGGTGGTCGCACTTAATTCACATACATATTTAACAAGGTCAATTTTATTTAACACACCTAGTACACGTTTGATCAATCATTTACTATTGATTTGATCTTATTGATTAAAAACAGTGATGTGATAAATGTGATAGAGATGTACAAGAAGTAGGTGAAAAGTATTTAAAAAGCAATACACTATATGTATGAAAGCTCCAGTATGCCAAAATCATGATTAGTATAGATCAGAATTAGCAGTTGTCCAATAGAAAGACTGTACACATGATTTACAAAAAAAAAGAAAAAAGCCATTTTTCAGCGTGGGGATGCCATATTGAATGATTGGGCAGTATTGATGACACCATATTAAGGGTATTGCTTGAACGGTGGCACCAATATGTTTTCAAAAAATTTGATCAGAGTCAAATTCGTCATCACCTTTTGTTAGAATATAGAACCAGGAATAAAATAATCATTCCATCTTTGTTTGTGGTATGGTCTCCCTGTAACTTAATGTAACTTGTTAAATCAAACTTAGTAAATTTGACCTTAGTATACATTTAAAATGTCTGGTGTTGCTAAGTGGGAATTTCCCTCTAGTTATGTTGACATATTATAGTAATTGACCTTGGAGTCTGAAGGCAGACAAGATGAAATATGACAAATTGATTCACTTGATTCGCTCCAACTATTCAATTTCACGGTGCTTGAAACTAAATTGGTATCCGTCAGAGATAGATATGTAATTTTCAATTTCAAACATGTGATGTGATTTTAATACATATATTAAAGAAGTTTGTGTGCATAGTGTATAACGAATTTAGAATATTTATACAGTAGACAGAATTGAATTTAAATTTCTAAACTTCTGTATACATAATTGTTTACACACGCCCCCTTATATTACCATATAATTTAAACAGACAGACATATTGATCAGCACTACAAGTTATATCTATATCATGTATTTGTGTTTTTATAAGCCCACATTTTCATGTGGATGTATGTTGTCGTCGCCCCTGTCCGTCCGTCCACAATTTGTTTGTGAACACTCAACAGGTCACAATTTTCAACTGATTTTGACAAAACTTAAAATATAGGTCTATCTCCCAAAGATCTCGGTTCCTTATGATATTGGCATTTATCGGACCATAATTTCATGGTTTATGGCCCCTGATTATACGAAAAATCACTTTTTTTTAGCTTGTGGGCACCCTAGAGGTCACAATTTTGATCCGATTTTGATGAAACTTGAAATGCATGTTTATAACCCGAATATCTTGTTTCCTTTCGATATTCGCGCATATCGGACGTATATGCCTCTGATTGTATGAAAAATCGTGTTTTTAGTTTGTGGTCCCTCTAGAGATTACAATTTTTATCCGATTTAAAAAAACATTTTAGTATATCACCATTACACCCTAATGATGGTTGAGTTCTAATTTCGTGAACATCGGATCAAAACTGCTGTACAAAATGGCCGCCCACTGTACGCAAATAGTGTAAAATATGGTATATCAGGGTTGTGGACCCTCTAGTGGTCACAATTTTCATCTGATTTTGATGAAACTTGGAATACAGGTTTATATCCCAAAGATCTTGGTTCCTTTTGATATTCACGCATATCGGATTGTAACTTCCTGAATTATGGCCCCTGATTGTACAAAAAATTGCGCTTTTAACTTGTGGTCCCTCTAGAGGTCACAATTTTTATGCGATATAAAAAAAAATGTTTTAGTAAATCACCATTAGACCCTAATGATAGTTGAGTTCGAATTTCGTGAAAATTGCACCAAAACTGTCAAACAAAATGGCCGCCCCATGTAAGCAAATAGAGGCCACAATTTTGAAATCGATTTTGATGAAACTTGAAATGCATGTTTATAACCCAAAGATCTTCGTTCCTTTCAATCGTAACTTCTGGAATTATGGCCCCTGATCGTTAAAAAAAATCGCATTTTTGACTTGTGGATTCTCTAGAGGTCACACTTTGAAATATATCACAATTCCACCATAATGAAGGTTGAATTAAAATTTTGGGAAAATCGAAATGAAACTGATTTACAAAATGGCCGCTTTTTGTACGCAAATTGTGTAAAAGTATGTAACACGAATGTTGTGGACCCTCTAGAGGTCACAATTTTTTTCCGATTTTGATTGTACAAAAAATTGCTTTTGTTTTTAGCTTGTTCTCTATACATCTCTTGCAAAATGTGGGCGTAACATTTTATAGTACATTTGGGCATAATATACTAAAGAAAGCACCACAGTCTTCATTAGCCAGGTTGGGGCAGAAAAATAGGGTGTTAAAGTCATTTCCATGTGTTCTAGAGAAGGGTAAGCATACCCTGCCTCATTGACCTTTTCCACCACTACTGTAAGCTAACCGGAGCAATATTTTGGTCCAAGATTTCTAAAGTTGAACCAACCGGTTGAAGAGTTTTCAATTGCTTTTACTTTTATATTTGTTTTAACACGAAGGTGTTTAATGTTAGATATGTAAATGGGGCTGTTGATTTAAATTTCAGATGATGCCTGATGAGGATGTTAAGATGAATTATGATATGATGTATTATATTCTAATGGTACCAAGTACAGCTATTGTTTTAGGCATTTGTTTATTTTTTCGATGGCTTGGACTGAAATTTTTTGAACACAATTAAATCAATTATGTGACATTAATAGGACTAAAAAGCAGACTTGTGTGTATCTGTGGAGTTGGATTATGTGAATGCATAAATTAAATCTAGATATACAAACAATGTAACATATCTTTTTCATTATGTACATATACATTCCTCATTGTGTTTTAACATTAAATTTTTATATAACTATAAGATATATTTCATTTCTTTAATTGTATATGGGGCTCTGGTGGAGATGGCAGAGTGTTGGCTGTAGATCACAATGCCTGTTATCTATCTAAGTAAGTCAAGGCTTCTCTCCTGGGTTTTGTGCTTGACAGTGAGTGTTATTGCCATTCTGCACACAGAGATCCATCTACTTCATACTTTGAAAATAAATCTCTGTTCTGAAAGGCCGCCATATCGCAAATGTGTAGGCCTATACAGTTTTGTAATGCGGTTCGAATCTTTTTCGCATTTGGCATACACCCAAAGACTAAATAAACCAAAAATACTCAATTCCATTAAATAGAAGTAGAATATATACTTCTCAAAAGACTCGAAGTATACTTAGTGTTTTCGACTAAAATTGTCGATTTAGGACTTAAAATGTCGGTGAACTAGCTTAGTGTCTGTTCTCAAGCGGAGCTAACTGTAGACAGACAGCCTTAGTATCATTGCCTACTTAACATCATTTTCTCCAGGGTCCTAGATTTCCTTCCATATCTAAATAGCCTTTATGTGCAGGGGGTTGGGTGGGCAAGGTCTGTTATTGAATCAAGTGGTGTGGTTTTGATTCCCAGATTGTAAGGAGTAGTGTCGTCTATCCAACCTTGTGGGTCCCATTTCTCTCTTTCCCTCTATTTTAAAATTGTAAACAAATTATTGTCCCCCGCCTTTCGAAGAAAGCAGGGGACTATTAAAATGGGTTCGTCTGTCTGTCCGTCACACTTTTTGGGACACAATAACTCTCTTCCTAATTGAGCTAGAATGTTCAAACTTGGTGTATGTGTTTATTAGGTCAATGCCTTGATGGAGTTCGAAGATGAGCATTTTCCGCTTAGGGTAAGCAGAGATAAGCAATTTGATTGGTTGATGCTTTGGGACACGATAACTCTCTTCCTAATTGGGCTAGAATGTTCAAACTTGGTGTATGTGTTGATTAGGTCAATGCCTTGATGGAGTTCGATAGGTCAATGCCTTGATGGAGTTCGAAGATAAGCAATTTGATTGGTTGATACTTTGGGGCACGATAACTCTCTTCCTAATTGAGCTAGAATGTTCAAACTTGGTGTATGTGTTGATTAGGTCAATGCCTTGATGGAGTTCGAAGATGAGCATTTTCCGCTTAGGGTAAGCAGAGATAAGCAATTTGATTGGTTGATGCTTTGGGACACGATAACTTTAGTTCTAATTAAGTGAGATTGATGAAACTTGGTGTATAGTTTCATTACAGTAATACCTTGACTAAGTTTGATAATGAGCATTTTCTGCTCAGGGTAAGCAGAGCGATACGCAATTTGATTGGTCGAGACTTTGGAAAACAATAACTCTCCTACTTTGATTGTCCCCCGCCTTTCGAAGAAAGCAGGGAACTATTAAAATGGGTTCGTCCGTCTGTCTGTTTGTCTGTCTGTCCGTTCCGCTTATGGTAAGCAGAGATAAACAATTTGATTGGTTGATCTTCGAATTGAGTAAATGTTCATGCTTATTGTCCCCCGCCTTGTGAAGAAAGCAGGGAACTATTAAAATGGGTTCGTCCGTCTGTCTGTTTGTCTGTCCGTTCCGCTTAGGGTAAGCAGAGATAAACAATTTGATTGGTTGATGCTTTGGGACACTATAACTTTAGTTCTAATTAAGTAGATAAACAATTTGATTGGTTGATGCTTTTATTTTTTAATTTGCAACCTAGAACTGTTGTCAACAAAGATTTTCTAGGTGGGAATTCCTTACCACTGCTTGTTTAAGAGTTAACTGCACTCCGTAAACCCATCTTCATTAACCCAATCGGGGCATAAAAGTAGGATGCTAATCACTATCTCATTTATCATTGGGTATCATGTTGTTATATTTTTTTTTTTGTCCCCCGCCTTTCGAAGAAAGCAAGGGACTATTAAAATGGGTTCGTCTGTCTGTCACATTTTTTGGGACACAATAACTCTCCTAATTGACCTAGAATGTTCAAACTTGGTGTAGGTGTTTATTAGGTCAATGCCTTGATGGAGTTCGAAGATGAGCATTTTCTTCTTAGGGTAAGCAGAGATAAGCAATTTGATTGATTGATGCTTTGGGACACGATAACTTTAGTTCTAATTAAGTGAGAGTGATGAAACTTGGTGTATATTTTCATTACATCAATACCTTGACTCAGTTAGATGATGAAAATTGTCTGCTTAGGCTAAAGCTAAGCAAAGATAAACAATTTCCTTGGTCGATGCTTTGGGACAAGATAACTTTGATTCTATCTGATAGAGAGTGATGAAACTTCGTGTATAGTTGATAATCAGTTTGATTGTTCGATACTTTTGAAAAAAATATATGTGCGATTAATTAATATGTGTCATCTATTTATTTGGGGATTTCGGCGGGGGACATCAGCCTCACTGTTGGCTTGTTGAAATAGAAAATGCAGATTAGTCTTGAAGAGACCTGGTAATGGTTAAGTGGATGTTAACCCCATTTCTCTTTCTATCTATTAATGGTACATATATTCCAACAGACTCCAGAGAGATAAATAAATATATTTTATAAGTTTCTATGGAGTAGTAGAGATTTATGTTCTATTTATTCCCTCCCTCCTCTCTTTCTTATGCATGTAAACATCCTGTCTGGGTTAAAGTATATCGATATCCCTATTATATCAACCCGAAAAATGTTGACCATGGTTGAAATTGATTTCTCCATGATTGCAGTTTCCCGAAAATATACAGATATATATTGTATGGTAGTTTTCAAAATGTGTCGGTGAAAGCTACAGACATGTACTTTTGATAAGAGAGTGACATTGTATATATGTCAACCACTAAGGACTTTAAAACAACCCAGTTTTACTGTGTCTGTGAGATTGTAAAATCAATACAGTAAAATGATCTTCTGTTCAGTTATTAAGCTACTTACTCTGTGCAGGTGCTAATTTATTGACGTGTATGACTGACAATATTAAATGCTCTGCTGCTAAAATGTCTTTTCCACTGAGTAAAAATAAAAAGTGAAATGTACAAAGTCCTACTACCGATAATGATCAAGTCAAATTTTAAAAGTCACATGTAATATGTCAAATGAAAACAAATTTATTGTCTAATGAAATTTATTTATTACATCGCAACCATGTTTGATCTTACACAAGATATTTCACAGATACATTTAACATTTTCACTCAAATTGTTCTCTACGCTTTCCACATTGCATCTTATGCATAGCAATTAGCAATAACTTTGATATATGGAGGATGTCACATGAATACCAGTCTCCAATAAGGCTCTGTCAAGCTAGCAGACATCAGTGTAGCAGCCAATAAGAATGCAACTTGCCAGAAGACGAGAAATTGGGTCATAGCGCATGTAGGATAGAATACCTTTCGTGGACACCTTATTTTACTCTTTAAGTCACAGTCTTTCATGCAGCTGATGAATGGTTAAAATGAAGAACAGAACAAATAGGAAGGTTACTACACAAACAAATTCAAAGAATTTAGAATAAAGAGATTATAAAATATACTTGTTATGTCCAATTTTGGACATAAAATGATGTAAATATCTCTCTACATAGTAAATGTCTAATATGCTTGATACGTTTTAATGTCAAAGTCTGCTTTGTTTTGTTGTGCAGAACAGTCAAAAAAGTTCATGCCGGTAATACCATCTTGCCTTTTTATACATGATCGGATTAGAAGTGGGTCTTTAATAGCTTAATTCAATAGTAGACTTTTTATAATATAATTGAGATCAAATTAAAACAACAAGCTGGCAAACTTTTTATTCCATAGATCAAATAATACATACATTTATATTGTCTAGACATTTCAAAGATATAATATTGAATTTTTGATTGAACTACCCTACATTCTTTCTGTCTTATCCTGTATATTAACATATACCCAGTCATACTTATGTGCTATGTTATGCATCATATTATTATGTTAATATAGTATTGTCTATAGATATGTCCTTGTCTTGGTTTCTAGAGCGGAATAGAAGATAAGCAGCATTAAACAGTGATCAGCCCGAGGCAAGTTAGCTACACACTTTTTGATCTCAGCTCAAATAATATGATCATTTAGCCATATATGATAGAATACCAGTATGTATATAGATTCTAATAATTCTTAGCTGTGGTATATTGTTATGTCTGTTATTTTACAGTATCTTCATTTTACTTGATTCAAATAGAGTTTGTAAAATTTATTAGTGGAGAGTTATTTCTTGGTTATTTCAATTAAGCAGTTCAGTAGCAGTATATTATTTAAAAACCCACATACATATAGACAGAAATAAGGAAGAACCCTATTGAAATTCATCATTTTCTTCAATTAAAGAAAAACAAAGGATATATAATATGCTGTTATTGGTAACGGCTTTATCTATAGTCTATTTATTAATTCTTCCTATTCTTTCACAGAAAGCATGGACTATTAAGATGGGTTCATTCATCTGTTGGTCATATCTAAATAGCAGTGAATGCTTACAATGTCGGGGGGTTGTATCATATTGTCTGTCATTGAGTCAATTGGCAGGGTTTCTATTTCCCGGTTGTACGTGACAAGGAATAGGGTTGCCTGTCCAACCTCATGGGTTTTCTCCTGGTCCTCCGGTTTCCTCGCACTGCAAAAGACCCCTACGCGCAAGCGAATTCTTGAAATAAAATTGAACCATGTGTTAATCCCGAAATGACCTAGTTTGTGTCAAGTGGACGTTAAACCTGATTTCTCCCTCTCTGCTTACAATGTCTGTGATTTTGTCTTGATCTTGTTCATTTCTGCACTTTGTATTTAAACCACATTAATTGGCTCGGCTAGGATTTTATTGAACTTTGGTCATAAAGCAAAGCTGTAAAAAAAAAAAAACATTTTGGGTTTTAAATTTATTATTCTTGTTTTAAATAGCTAGAGTTTTCTCTTTTTTACTTAGTACCTGTAGATAACACCCCTATATTTTGTATTAACAATTACATCGACAGAAAAAAGAACATTTTTAAATTGATTTTCAATTTTGATG